AGACAAAGGAATAGGGACAAAGTATCAAACAAGCATTGCTGGTCATGGAATCTGGTCAAAGCCCGGCAGCATGGCTCGCCATGCTGTGACGCAGGTGTGGAGCAAAGCATCGCAGGGGGTGTCGTCCTTGGCCAGGAGACACCCCGGTCCCCATGTCGGTGAGCATGCGGGTTGGGCTCATAAAACAATACTCCCGCCCCCTCCAAAAGAGCACCAACGAGTAGTGAGGCACTGTCATGACTGCAGCGTGACATCTCACAAGGGGCACCGACCTCTGGAGACCCTGCGTCAGTTATAAAGAAAGGGGGAGATGTTGGGCGCAGGCGCTCAACATACCATACCCCACCCGGGACTAAGGACCACGCCAGCTTCGGCAATGCGCTACGTCCCTCTTTAAATTAGCCAACCCATGTGCACTTTGTGCTCACTCCGTACTCTGTGGCAACTCCTGATTGGCCACAGCTGGATACGGTAGCTGGAGCCTGCGTCCCATTCCCGCCCTGCTTCCTCGTGGCAGCCTGTGATTGGTCACAGCCAAATATATAAACCAGAGCCCGCGTAAATAAACCAGCAGTTAACAGTCGCCCACAAGAGCGTCTCCTGTTTCATTGGGGCTGCGCCGGTCAGTTAGGCTTCTTGCTCGGGAGCCGTGCATGTGCAGAGGCCGTTAGGCTTCTTGCTCGGGAGCCATGCACGTGCAGAGGCAGTTAGGCTTCTTGCTCGGGAGCCGCGCACGTGCAGAGGCTGTTAGGCTTCTTGCTCGGGAGCCGTGCACGTGCAGAGGCTGTTAGGCTGCTTGCTCGGGAGCCGTACACGTGCAGAGGCGGTTAGGCTTCTTGCTCAGGAGCCGTACACGTGCAGGGGCTGTTAGGCTTCTTGCTCGGGAGCCGTGCACGTGCAGGGGCCGTTAGGCTTCTTGCTCGGGAGCCGTGCACGTGCAGAGGCCGTTAGGCTTCTTGCTCTGAAGCGGTGCACGTGCAGAGGCTGTTAGGCTTCTTGCTCGGGAGCCATGCACGTGCAGAGGCGGCGTTCATTGAAAGTCAGTGAGAGGTCAAAGGGGCCTGAGATTCTGCCATGAAGAGGGTCTACAGGTTGCCCGGTGAGGACCGGAAACCACTAAGCAACAGGGACGGTCGGAGGAGCCGTGCACGTGCAGGGGCTGTTAGGCTTCCTCCTCGGGAGCCGTGCACGTGCAGGGGCCGTTAGGCTTCTTGCTCGGGAGCCATGCACGTGCAGAGGCCGTTAGGCTTCTTGCTCTGAAGCGGTGCACGTGCAGAGGCTGTTAGGCTTCTTGCTCGGGAGCCGTGCACGTGCAGAGGCGGCGTTCATTGAAAGTCAGTGAGAGGTCAAAGGGGCCTGAGATTCTGCCATGAAGAGGGTCTACAGGTTGCCCGGTGAGGACCGGAAACCGCTAAGCAACAGGGACGGTCGGAGGAGTCACAGGGCTGCCATGCCAGGCATCTTTGGCAGCTCAGTGCCCAAGCTCCACAAGGCTGCCCACAAGGGCGACAAGGCCAAGGTGGAGCGTCTCCTCCAGAAAACAGACACGGTTTACACAGACAGCAAGCAAAGGTAATGGGGCTGCAGGCCCAGGGGCTGTGAGTGGGGCCAGGATGATGCAGGAGAGGAAGAAGTGGGTGAAGCGGGGGCAGGGGGATTCCCACCACCCTGGGAGGCAAAGCTGGCCAGAGAGTTGATCCTCAGGTGGTGTCCATAAGCTGCAAAATAAAAACCAAACATTCACTGGTTTTTAGTGGACTTATACTTCCTGTGGAGACTACATTATTGACTGCAGAAAAGCTATTTAAACATGGTAACACGTGTATAGAGTTTTATTCTTAGTATCACGTTAAGAGATGTACTGTTGTACATATTATTTAAAAAGGGAACTATGACATGTTTCCTGTAATCTACAAACTTAAGGTAGAAACTTAACCTGATGAAAATCTAGTGTCCATTTACTATCAGTGTACACCTGTGCATGTATGTTCTTTACTAAGGAACCTTATAAGAAAACTGAGATGGGAAGGTGGCTGCATGTTCTTGACTAGAAAGTTCTGTTAGTCTCAAAATGTGAGCTTTCTGTGTATCAGCTTTATAGAAGCTAAATAAAAAAATCACATAAGACTTGAGTGTCCGTAGCCTCTTTTGCTATGGGGTCACTAAGAAAATGTAGTGAAAACCCACCTTCGTAGGTATCTCGGTAAGTCATTTTCACAAATTAATTGTTTTCCAACAGCCCAAAAGATAAATAAATGAACGTAACTTAGTAGAAAACCTGGAAACATTCAAATATCTGTCAGATTGTAGAAGTTGAAAAATTGGAATGACTCATGAATGAAATGCCTGTAAAGTGTTTCCAAAAAACCTGGATTTTTATGTCACAAAAGTTTCTGGTGGTGTATTGATTAAAAATTTTATATCATACAAAATGAGAAAAGTAGCAAAGGAAAACACATAGCCTATTTGAGCCTTCCTAAGAATGACACCAACAATGAACATTCATTTTTTTGTGTTGGGGGTTGTTCCTAGAACATGGTGCATGCGAAACACACTACCACTCAGCCATCCCCTTCCCCACATGCATTCTGAAGGTTGACTACCAAAAGAAAAATTAAATTCTCATTTATATTGGAAAATCATTAACAAAATGAAAAACATATTTGTGAGACATTTATAACAAGGGCCTGGGATATTAACTCAGTGGCACAGTGCCCGCATGAAAATGTGAGGTCAGGAGTTAGATTTGCAGTGCCAAAAAAATAAAATAAAATAAAATAAAATAAAATAAAATAAAATAAAATAAAGGAGAGATAAATAGATACATCATGAAATACATAATACATCAGATGAAACAATCATACATACATACAGCAGATAAAAAATGTATCTTAAACTTACAGGGTAACTTTTTAAAAATCATCAAAGAAAAATATTGAATACTAATTTACTTCCATGCTAGATAGCACACACTGTGAGCCTCATATCCTGGGCTGTACTGCTGAGCTATATTTAACTCTGATTTCTGAGTCTATCATTTAACAAAAATAAAATTTGACAAATGCCATCTGATTTATTGAGAGCTTGTGCCAGCTGTTCCTTCCTCACTTTTCCATTCCCTGGACCTCTTCCATAGTGCATGACCCAACTGAGCAAGCCCTGCCTACTCTTTTCACTTTTGTAATCAGATAGAAGGTTAACAGAACACATTCTGGATCCGGGAACCAACAGGAACTGTGTTCTACACCCAAGCACACTAATTAGCTGGCAACCTCTACATCATCCCTTAGACCTCACTTCTTCTGAGCCACCCTGACTTTCTCAAAACCTATTCTCCTTTGTAGTGCTTATCACAATAACTTAATGTTAAAATTAATAGCTGAATCGGTATCTTTCCTACCTACATCCTGGACTGCAAACTCCCTCAAGGCAGAAAGCATACAAACCTTGTGCCTCAGCAGTGCAAAATAAAAACTCATTACATTAACGCTGAAACATGTTAAGATCACTTCCTGATACACTGCTCTCATTACTGTTACTTAACCTAAGTAATAAAATTACTAGCACTTACAAAGTTACAACTTTAAGCAGAAACTCCACCTATTACCACAAACACAAATATGTTCTACATATAAATTTATATGAAAAACTGTAAAGAGTAAGAGGAACTTGTTTCCTAAGATTGTTACACTTTTCTTGCCCACTCCCATGAAAAGGAAGTTGGATCAGTTACCTACATTTCAGGATTGAAAGGTGTGTGCTAAATCTTGTACAGGCTAAATGTGCAAATAAGTATCATGAATCAGTGATCCCAATTTGACATTAATACTTTTCTATGTACCTGTTTACATTAATACCCAATGAATACCCATTGGGACTTTAGATTTAAAGCTATTCCTTAACATTAGTAAGTCATGATACGCACACTGAAAAACATTAGTAAGTCATGATACACACAAAGAAAATCACCTTTATCAGCCCTGTGACACTTCAACAGGATTTTTAAATATTCCATATAAGTCAGGGTAAAACCTGTGCTGGTTGAGCAACTACAAGTAACCACAATTGTACAACTACAATTACAGTAACCACCGTACCATATCAGATGTCTTTCAAACCTAAAAATTTCTTATTTCACCAAAGTAAGTTAAAGTTTTGTGAAGTTTTATGATATACCACCTTGATCAAACACTTTTAACAGACTATATGTTAATCTGTCCTTGAACAGAGGGGTATTTACTGCTTCTCAACTACACTGGAAGACGGGGTGCTTTTGTTAATTGGCCCTCTGGAGTCAAGAATGCAAGTGATTCCAGTGATCCGTGATATGCAAGAAACTGACAAGGACTTTTGAGGTTTAACAGATTTATATAAGGGCAGTAGAAAACAATATACAACTATCTAACATCCAAGGCTTGGGTAATTCCCTGGGTTAGGAGTGATTAATAGACTCTAAATACAGTCTGAGAAGCAGCATTTCATAACACAAACACTGAAAGACACAATCACTTGGAACCACTCTCCAGGTCGTCCCATGGTTAAGTCAGCACCTCTGATCTTAAGGGGGAGAGGTGTATCCCCAGTACCCTCTGGGAAGACCTCAGACTGTGGTTCTAATCTCAGTGCAGTCTCCTGGGACCTACAGGGGTTTCTTGGGGCTGCAGAAGCTGGAAAATCCCAGGCCAGTCAAAGAGGAGTTCCAGCTCCCTCCCAGTCCCGTTCCTTAAAATGAATTGGCCATAGGATTGTTTAATATTTAAAGAGGTGTGTAGTGGCCTCTCCTAGTGCTAGTGTGAGCACAAGAATGTCCCACTCACGTAAGTGGGATGACCCGGGAGAGAGACCCTAGCACCCCGACCCTGCTCCGCTGTGCCTCCCCCACTCCGTGTCCACCCTCCTCACGCGAGATCCCCTTCTCCCCAGCCCCGCGAGCCGAGGTGAAGTTCCCAAACGTTTCCTCCCGGATCCCAAACAAAACCCAAGCCGCCGCCCCCGCTCACCTGCGGACTTCGGCGGCCGGGGTGTCCGAGAGGCAACTTGCAGCGGCAGCCGCAAGGGCAGCTCAGCCAGAAGCCAGAGGCGCTCAGGGCCACGGGACCCCGCTCCGCTGCCAGCTTCGCCCAGCGAGGCAGGGAAAGACGGCGGCGGGGGCGGACACGGGAAACTCTAGCCTCCACGCTCGCGCTCCTCAGCCGCTCCCCTGCCCCGCTCGGCTCCCGCCCGGCCTAGTCTGCCCCTCAGGGTTCTTCAGGCTGAAGTGGAGACTCTGGGGCGCCTCCTTCCTGAGGGGGTGAGCGGGAGGAGACCAGAGAGAGGGCGTTCGTCAGTCCCCGCCCGGACGTTGGAAAGAGACCGCCACAACCTGGGCGACCGCAGCCGGGGGCGGGGGCGTGCTCCCCCTCCCCCGCCTTTTCTCTGTCGCCCAAGCGCAGGCGCGCGCTCTCACGCGCTGCGTCTGGCGCGACGCGCGCCCCACGCCGCCCCAACCCGGGTGGTCGCCTCCGGTGCGGGGGCGAGGCTAGGCTAAAGGGCCGCTCCCCTCCTCCTCCTCCGAGGCGCCGCGGACAGGCGCTGCTGCGGGCTCTCCCCTTTCCCCTGCTCTGCCTTCTCCCTCTCGCCGGCCTCTCGCTCCTCGCCTCAGGGGAGAACCTCCCCACACCTCTCCAGCCGCCTTAAGGTGCGGAGACCTCGGGCGCCTCAGGCTCTGGGAAAACGGGCTGTACCCAAGGCCGCGGCGGGCGCGCACCTGGGCGCAGCCCGGGTCCCGGGCCTCGGGCCTGAATATAGGGCCGCTGGGTCCACTCAGTGGTCTGTTCGGCGGTTTATGTGCCAGCCGTAAACAGCCGCCTTGGCTCGGCTCCCGCGGGAGGGCCCCCGCGCCTCGATGACCTGACCTAGCAGCGCTCTGGGCAGTCTGAGCGCCAGGAAGCTGGGGCGCTGACAAAGGAGCCCCGCGCCAGCTCCTCTGGAGCCATCTGGACCCGCATCCAGCCCCGTGACCACCACCACCACCACCCCTGCGGGCTGATTTGGGGACAGAACTGCAGGAGTTCCCCTATACCCTGGAGGAGTACTTAGCGCATTTGTACCTAGATGTCAACCCTATCTCTCCCCTGTAAACTGGGAGCAATCAGGATTTGATTTTTAAGCCTCTTTGGTGATCATGAGGTGACACCTCAGCTCCTCAGAGTTAGCTGGAAACTGTTGCTAGTTCCACTGCTGATGCCAATGCTGATTCTGTTATGATCTGCATCTGTGGAAATGTTTTAAAAGAAAGTTTCTTTGGTTATATACTTGGAGAATCACGCAAATTCAATGATAGGAGTTCATTTTCTATTCAGGCTTCTCAATAGTCTGATGCATTGCTTCCCACAAGGAAATGGCTATTTCTGTAACTCATCCCCCTGTGCTGCCTTTAGTTAATTTCTTCAGATAGTTTATCATGAAATGCCAAAATTGAGAGGGAAGAGCTCAGAAACCTCATAAAAACCTCTTATTTCCTCAACGTAGTGAAATTAGGGACCCAGGGTCCAGTTTTTGGTACACGCTTAACGTTTTCCACTAGGCAAACCATTTGAGTATCTGTTTTTTGTCTTTTTGAGGCAGGGTCTTGCTATGTGATTCAGGCTGGCCTTGGGCTCACTTTGTAGCCCAGGCTAGCCTCCAACTAAGGATCCTTCTCATTTTCCCCAGTGCTAGGATTACAAGAGTGGACCACCACGCCTGGCTCCATATCTTTGTTTTGGCCAAAATTGTTAACCAGAAAAAAATATTTTCTAAATACCTTCCTGATTGACCTGTTAAATTAGAAATAGTTTAACTCCCAATTACTTCACAAGTGTTTAGTTAATTAACCCTTATCATTCAGGCTATCATTATTCAGTTTTTCTGAGATAATGAGAAAGGCTCTTTAGAAACTATTGCCTTGGAAATGTTAATTTTCAACTATCATGTCTAAGGCTGAAAATTTTTTTATTATACTAAAGTCGTAAAATGTGTCATGTGACTTCTAAAATGATGCTTACATTTATTGTCAAGTTTTGAAAAAAAACGAGTTGTGGCTAATAACAGACTGATTTTCTTTTGGTTTTTCAATTTTTATTTTGAAAGTATACAACAGAACAAGTCAGAATAAAGCCAAATAAGATCGTACAGTGAAATTGGTACAGAACTTCACAGCAGGTTACCGGGATAACAGTAATAGGTATCACAGTATATTTTGTTATCTTTATAATAGTTGTTCTTTCAATCCCATATATCAAAATGCGATGAAATAGGGCTGAGGATTTAGCTCAGCGGCATAAGTGCCTGCCTGGCAAGTTCAAGGTCGTGAGTTCAATCCCCGCTACCGCAAAAGAAAAAAAAAAAAAAGATGAAATATAGAACACTATAGAACTTACCAAAACAGAATATTGAATAGAGCAGTACCATTAATCAGAAAAGAGCAAAACAGTAATAAAAATATTTGCCTTCAAAGAAATGGTAGAAGGAAGACCCCCTTATTTGCTTTGGTCAATCTCCCAGGAGAAGCTCAGATTTCTGGTTCCCACTTGCTAATTGGGCGGGGAGGAGGAGAAGGAGGATATGGGAAGTGGGATAATTGACTCTAGGCCATATAGCAGTAGGTTCACTATTGCTAAGCAGGGAGGCAGAATGGTCATTTGTTTTTTTTTTTGTTGTTGTTGTTGTTTTGTTTTGTTTTTATTTTATTTAAGAGGAAAAAGAGAAAAACATTAAACAAAACAAAGCGGTGTAAGGGTACACGTAATACAGAACTACAAAAAAAAAAACAGTAAGAAATCACCTGTTAATAGATTACATATTATCATCTTGAAAATAGTTGCTCAAATCACAGTATCAAAGAATACAAAGTGGACATTCAAACAGGGAGACTGCAAACAGCTGTGTTCAATGATCCAAAAACATTGATACAGTCAGCTATTTAACACCCTTAAACACACTTGCTGTTATATCCGTTAGAGCTCTTTTTTTTTTCCCCTCTCTTTTTTACAACAAAATTTACACATTAATTCCATTTATTCCAGCTATTCCACTTCTAGGCATATTCCCAGAAGAACTGAAAGCATCATACCACAGTGATATATGTGCACCTATGTTTATAGCAGCACAATTTGTAATCGCCAGATCTTGGAAACAACCCAAGTGTCCATCAACTGAGGAATGGATAAAAAAGTTGTGGTATTTCTATACAATGGAGTATTATTCAGCTATAAAGAAGGATCACATTGAGATATTTATCAATAAATGGGCGCAGCTTGAGACCATACTCGTAAGTGAAATAAATCAATCTCGCATGTGTGAATACCGAATAGTTTCCCTAATGTAAGTAAAATTGACTCCCCGTTTGTAATGTAACCCCCCCGAGCTATAGAACAGAGCTGTAAGGAATGTTTCACTCCCTAATTCCTCCTTGAGATATCAAAGCAGGACAGGAAGAAATACATCTGCTAGTCATTAACCACAAGACGTTCTGTCCTCTGTAAAGATAAAGATAAGTAAAGGAATGTGCTGTTCAAACGAGACCGAGTTGTACCTGGCACTCTGAGATCAGACCAGGACCCTCAGTCTCCATGGTTACTCAGCCCCAGACCCCTCAAATCAGCATCTGCCAAGTCCTGTGCCGTTCAAAATTAACCAATGCGATTTGCTTCTGTAAACCTGCTTGCTTACCGCTTGTGCCCTTAAAAACCCTGCACAGATTCCCCTCGGGGCCCTCCGCACTCGTTTGCCTGGAGGACCCCATGCGCATGGAAATAAACTTTTTTCCCTCACCAAGAGTTGAGTCCTTGGGGTCTCTTTCCCTGCGGCGTCGGCCCTAACATCTTGGAGGCCCTAGCGAGATAGCACGTCTCACGGGAGGTGACCTCAACGGCTCTGCGGTGGGTGAGTACGACCGGTCGCTTCTTATTTTTACTCTGAGGATCAATCTACCGGTACCTGTTTTTGTTCTCTGGTGACCGGGGGACGCCCCACACGGTTTTCCGTGACTCACCGTCTGCGATAGGATTTTCCTATCTGTTTGGGGAATTTCATTCCCAATCTGTGGTCCGTCTGGGCCAATCTGGGGAATTTCATTCCCAATCTGTGGTCCGTCCGGGCCAATCTGGGGAATTTCATTCCCAATCTGTGGTCCATCTGGGCCAATCTGGGGCCCAATCTGTGGTCCGTCTGGGCCAATCTGGGGAATTTCATTCCCAATCTGTGGTCCGTCCGGGCCAATCTGGAGGCACCCCCTAAGGTGACTCGTTTGGTGTGAAACTAATGCGTGAGAGTGAGGTGGCCGGCCTGTTTGTCCTGTGTGTTGTGACTGTTGTGAACGGTTATTTGTTGTGTCGCGCGTACGCTAACCACTCTTTGTCTTCAGAACATCATGGGACAAACGACATCGTCCGCATTGTCCCTCACCCTCGACCATTGGTCGGAGGTTTGAGAGAGGGCTCACAATCTCTCCTTACAGGTTAAAAAAGTAAATGACAGACTTTCTGCTCGTCTGAGTGGCCCACATTCTCCGTGGGTTGGCCACCGGAGGGGACTTTCCACCATCCCCTCATCTTAGCAGTTAAGAACATCATCTTCCACCCTGGACTAGAGGGCCAACCCGACCGGATCGCCTACATCTTGGTATGGCAGGACCTCAGGGAGGAGCCCCCACCGTGGATAAAACCCTTCCTTCCTCCGCCCTCTCCTTGGTTGCCTGTTTAAACTTGTTACTAACTTAGGGGCTTGTTGCCCATTTCTGTTACAGGATCCATATGGCTTATTAGATTCAAGGTTCATGATAAAAAAAATTATTTCCTTTAGCTGACCAAACTATGCAAGAAGCTCCCTTTGTTTGTGTCTTTAATGTTGTGGCGCCTTGTTTAATATGTAAGACTTCAATTGATTGCTTGCAACCTCGACATGCCTTTTAAAAAGAGTATTTTTTTCTCTCTGGTAAAAATGTAAACATGTGCACATATATATGTATATCTATGGTTATTAAGAGTCATGTCAACTTTGCCAAGTAAAAACCAGGCGGTACTATATTTGAGCCAGTTAAAAGGTTACAGTTTTGTTTTTAAAATACAGCATTTTTATGTGGTAAAAAGACATAAAATAAGTATGTTTTGGACTACTAGAAGGTGACTTCAAGGGTTTTGTTGAGAGTTTTAATGTTGTCTGAGAAGTGAGAAAAAAGGTAATTGACTGGTAATAGTAAAAAAAAGGGACAAAGAGAGTGGTCTTCAAGTAAAGGTGTCTGGCTATGCCAGAATGTAGAAAAAGATTAAAGCTTAGTTTGAGAGGTATTATTGTAAGTTGTAGAAGGCTCAAGAGGATGTGAATATTATTTGTCTTGGTTTATAGTACTACAAATAACAGGTTTGACAAGAAGTAAATGTGTTCAGAATTTGACAGTATTAGATCAGTTTTGGTAGAAGTATACATAAGATTGTACTTTGCTGCAAAATGTTTTCATTAAAATGAGATTATAGGTGATATTAAAAATAAGATACAAGTTCTTACATGTGCTGTGAACATCTGGGAGATTATACAGCACAATTTTGTTATCTATGAAAAAGCCCTTTTTGTTAAGAATATAATTTTAGTAAAATGATGGCCTGCCACGTGACACCCTTGGACAAAAAGCAGTGTGCCATCCAGATGAAGCCGGCTCTCTGATCCGGAATGCCAAAACCATGTTCTCCTTTTGTGCCACCCTGACTGGACATCCAGAGGTAAGGAGGTTTCCCAATATTGCCAGTTGTTCTCTTTGTAACTCAGTCGGCCCCACATGTTAGACAAAAATTACAAAGGTTTGAGAGGTTTAAGAAAATGCCCCTCAGCCAGTTAATAGAGATAGCACAAAAAGGTCTTTGAGAACTAAAAAAATTTTACAAAAAGATAGCCAAGGTGTTACAGATGAGACTTTCTGGAGGCAGTTGGATACTGTAGGCTAAATTTTACTGGAAAGCTTGCCTCTATATGACTCCCATAAGGGAGAAACTCAAAATTCGCTGAACTGG